TTGTTGTTAAAATCTGTTCATAGAACAATTTCCTTTATCGCAACTCGTACAGTATACATTCTATACAGTTCTAAATATGGAATGATGATCGGCGAAAGTATTTTGAATTTATTAAAAATATTTTAATTAAAAAAATGGTCGAATCTAGCCCAATCGAAGCAATTTTGTGTTACATCGTATGCGGTTTCAGTTCTGTGTGCATAACTAAGGTGGAAATCTATAATGTCTTTTTTTTCAGGCTTGATGCAGCTGGCAATCCTATCTCTAGGCCGATCGAAGCCGCAACGTTAATCGAGCCGCGATAAAGAAAGCAATTCGCGCGGGAACTATCGACCGCAAGTTCAACGTGATCAAAAAAAGTTTAATTACGCCAACAGACGCGACGGTTTCGCTTGGCAATCAGCCCTGCGGAATTATCCAAAACCCTGGCACCGTTTCACGCGGTTTAAGGGGGAGTTAACGCCACGAATTGTCCCCGCTGCCGCGTACCAGGCGCTACGACGGGGTTTTGCTTTCCAAACGACGTCGTCTTCTCCTATTAAACCTTCTCAAAAACACTCACCGTCGCCGTCGCTGTCGGATCGCTTTAATTATCGCCGATTACGCCGTTTCAATCCGTACTCGGCGAACTCAAGCGTCGTTAACTTTAATGTTTTAATGATAATATTCCGTGTATGTGGGCCCTCCGTTTATTTTAATGGAAGTCACGTGCTCGGCGGCATTACGCAATGTACTCGCGATTGCCTAAGAGTAACTTACTCCCGATGTCCTCTTTGATGGCATCGCGCATTCTCGGTGACACTTTAGTTTCATTTCGTATTAAATACTTTTATTAACCCTTTCTATCACGATGATCCCTTGTGTAAGGATATTTATTTAGATGTTCGACGAAAACTGCCAAAATTCCAAGACAACACACAATACATCAGACAAAATGAAATCGCGATACAAATTAAATGACTAATCAATGAATTACTAACACAAAGTGATAAACATAACTGACAACTATAAAACGTACAAACATACCTAGTGGTTTAAATATAAACATTCATCCAACATTCACATGATGTTTCACTTCAATAAATGAAAAAGTGTTCCCAATCGACATCGTATGGATCGTACAATACCACGTACGTTTAAAATGGTTTTCGAGCATTTATGGTCTTGTAATCACTTTATTGGTTTTGTATTCATTCATTTATTCAAACGTATTTAACACGTATTTAACGTCAATTGTATTTAAAAGTATTCAATATTCCTACCCCCACCAACAACTATCCCAAACCGACTCAGACAGTATTTCCGTGTAGACAGTATATGCATTAACAATTTTATTACGTTTCCCATTACGAGATGGGAATTATATTTAATAGTATTCAATATTCCCACCTCCGCCAATATATTCCTGTCCTAAATCTACTCAGACAGTATTTCCGTGTAGACAGTATATACATT